CAACTGGGAATCAGCTGGCGGGCCTTCGAGCGACTGGTTGGGCACCCCTGTTAGAGGATCCAGGCTACATTTTGTTAATTAATTTTTTTTTTCTCTCAAAATTAGTTTATTACAATTTTTGTCTACAAAATTTAAGTCATTGATAATTTTATGCAATCACGGGATTAGAGTTGAATCTAAATCTAAATCTGATTATATTAATCATTGCAATTGGAATATTTTCAACCACATTTCTGTAATCCTCAGGGGAACAAACTATTTTGTATTTAATACTAAATGCCTCATGTTTTAATAAATCCCCTTTATCATTTATCAAATGAATAATGGTCCAAATTAGTTTTTCTATGATCCATCCTTCCATGAATATTGATTTTCTTTTTCTGCGGTCTGCATTTTAATTCCAGATGTCACATGCAGCAGTGAATTGTGGGTAATGCACTTTGCTGAAGTCCATAAAAATGCAGACTTYGCAGAAGGGAGGAAATAGTAAAATGGGTGGGGCGAAGCACTGATGTGGAGAATGTGGGACACACTACGCACTCAAACCCTTCAACATGAACGCGCATTTGAAGTGCACAAGGGTGGAACGAGGGTGTGAGTGTGGGTATTGGGACATGGCCCAAAGATAATGGTTACCTCCTTGTGTTTTGTATCAGGTACTTCCAGGTGGCTCGATGCTACAGGGATGAAGGCTCCAAACCAGACAGGCAGCCAGAGTTCACACAGGTGGGCCGAGGCATGAAAACACGTTTTTGTTTTGTTTTTTTCACACAGATAATAAAAAAATGTTTTAAACCCAGTTTGACTTTAAAGTTAAAAAGCTGTGATCAACAGGTTAGCTGATAACTTTTGTTTTTCTAAATGGACACATTCACCTCACTGTCTTTTCCAGGTGGACATAGAGATGTCTTTCGTGGACCAGGCAGGAGTCATGTCTCTGGTGGAGGGTCTGCTGCAGCACTCCTGGCCTGCAGAGAAGGGTTTCCTTCAGGTTCCTTTCCAGAAGATGACTTATGACGAAGCCATGAGAGACTACGGGGTGGACAAACCTGACACCAGGTTTAACATGAAGGTGGGGACTTCTGAAAGCCTACAGAAAAATATTTCTGCATTAAGAAGAATTAAAGCATTCATCCAGCTATGATAACGGTTATTATTGTTTTCTAAAAGGCTGTAAGGATCTTATGTATGTGAAAATTCCTTCTTTTTTCTCTAAAGGTTATTTTTATGTGAAGGTTTGGGGACAAAATAYTAAAATCCACACGATTTAATCTTGACCCAAATCAATACATTGGCTTTTAGAATATAATTTTATGGTTTTTGTTAAACAAGTCAAATTCTGCCTCTTTTGTCACAAGATTTTGATGTCTTACAAATATCTCTCGTGTTTTGTTCAGCGCTAACATACAGCAGTTCTGTTTAACCATACATTTATAGAGATGCTTGGGTAGAATAAGACACTTAAAGTAAAGCAAAGTAAGTAAAGTAAAGTTTTATTTATATAGCGCCTTTCACAGAAATAAATTCACATGGTGCTGTACATTCAGGGAAGGGGGAGGGGGCAGTTAGGAAACACCCATTCAAGAACACATACAAGACAAACATGGGGGAACAGGTGAAACCGGTCATGCAGCAAACACAGTTGTGCTACCTTTAACAACAGCTTGAACTACACAAAAGGAAAATTGAGTTAAACAACCCGTGAGAGAGCAAGACATCCTGGGGGGGCTTAGGTCAGATAACACAAAAATGGGGTGGGTTCAGAGGAGTAGGTGATGTTGGTGGGTGGGGGGGGATAATCCTGATCTCCTAATTATGACATCTTATCTCAATTATGAGATCTTTTCTTGTAATTATGAGATAAGATCTCGTAAATATGAGATCAGGTGTCTAGTTTTTTTTTTTTTTTTGGTGAATGTGATGCTCTTCCGTAGTTTTTGCTGTGTTAACATGTTTAATCAATCACAGAGGTTACAAAGMCTTTTCTGCACAGTCAACGTTGAGGAACTTCCTCCAGTAGTTTATAAATCTATAAAAGAAATATTATGGTTTTACTGATTTTCTCAATTAGTTTTTGATTTTTCATGTGGAAAATTACTGTCAAGAAGTTTCTTGCTATTACTGTCTTTATCTCTTTTAGCTTTGAAAATTCACCCTTAAAAAGTGAGTTGTGTTCAACCATACAAGATGACTACATCTAAAGAAATAGATAAGATAAGAAAAATTCAAGTTTTCTGTTTCTGACCGTCGTCTCGTCTTTCCAGCTGGTGGATCTGAGTGAGGTTTTCTCATCCACACAAATTGAATTCTTCAAATCAGCTCTGAGCCAACCTGGAGGTTCTGTTCAGGCCATCTGTGTCCCGAGTGGAGCGGTAAGAACAAAAACATCCCCTCTGCCAGTAAAAGCCTTTTCATGATCATAAAGGTAATGGTTTGCTACAAGAAACATTTAAAACAGTAGGAGTGAACAGAGAACGTGCAAAATGAGCTGCTGATGTGCTGATGTGGCTTCTGTTTGTCTCAAACTGTTTTCTGTTGATAGAAACTTCTGTCTGGGAAAGACKTGGATGAACTGAAGCAAACGGCCCAGACTCAGCACGGACAGGTMGGTCTGTGTCTCCATTATTCTTCTGTTTTTACTGTGCAGATTTATCCTGACTCTGTTGTTCTGATTTAATTGGACTGAAATCGATTTGAAGGAGCTGAGCCCGGTGCTGCTCAGGGACGACGGGACGATAAAGTCCGTCCTGAAGAAGCTGCTGTCTGTCTCTGAAACTGAAAACCTTCTGAGGAGTACTGGCGCCAAACCAGGAGACCTGCTGCTGATGGCAGCTGGATCCGTCCACTCTGTGGTAAAAACACTGAGACGACTGAAAAAAGATCAACTAAAGAGAACATTTCTATGAGACTTTTTTTTTTTTTGTATCTCTGCTCTCAGCGCCCACTGCTCGGGAATCTTCGTCTCCAGTCCGCTCAGCTCCTYGAATCTCGTGGCCTATTGCTGCGCGACCCCTCTGCCTTCCACTTCCTGTGGGTCGTGGACTTCCCTCTTTTCTTACCCAAAGAGGAGAATCCAGAGGAGCTGGAGTCGGCTCATCACCCGTTTACGGCTCCWCGACCCGAGGACACGGAGTTGCTCCTCACAGAGCCACACAAGGTGCTCACATCAAATCTTCTTTAGGTTCTAGAATGTGAGCTTTGTTTTYAACCGTGTCTAATCTGATGTATAACAGGTTCAGGGGCAGCACTATGACCTGGTGTTGAACGGTTGTGAGRTTGGAGGAGGCTCCATCCGGATCCACAGGGCCTCAGAGCAGCTTTACGTCCTGAAGAATATCCTGAAGGTTATTGATGGGACATAGTCTAACCTCTCAGATAAAAAATGTTTACTGAACGTTAGTTATTTACTTTATAAATGGGATTAACAGTTTTTTTTTTTTTTTTTACAGGAGGACTCCAGTCTCCTGTCCCACTTAATTGAGGCTCTTGACTCAGGAGCACCACCTCATGGAGGCATTGCTCTGGGTAAGATTTAACTCTGCACCTCCCTGCAGGGAGGAGACATTATATGATTTAAATCAAGTTGTCACATATTTGATTCAAATAAAATGTGAAAGTCATACTTCAGTTGGGTAGCACCCTTCTTGATGAGGTCATTTCCAAATACAGAGACCACCTTTAGTTTGAGGTTGAGATCATTTGAGGTTGTAGGAATCTTCACATCATGTTAAGACAGACAGCAGATTATGGAACATAAAACTCCTCTGTGCTCCTTTAGGGTTGGATCGGCTCGTCTCCATTATGGTCGGCGCTCCCAGCATCCGTGACGTCATCGCCTTCCCTAAGTCGACCCGTGGTCATGACCTCATGAGCCACGCCCCTGACTCGGTCTCTGAGGAGAAGCTGAAACCCTATCATATTTCTGTCAGATGGCCAACACAGAGAGGAGGAGGAGGAGGAGGAGGAGGAGAGACTTTGTGAGATGATGACAAAGAGAAACTAACAGCAGAGGAAATGATTTCCCAGATCTTTTTATCCATCAAAGGAAAAAAAGGTGGAACAAAGATTCAAGGATGTTGACTGAAGAAAAGAAAAACTAAAGGAGATATAAATTATCTCTTAAAAATTAGAACCAACCTTGTAGGACTCTGAAACACCAAGTGGTTCAACACTTAATACCATCTGTTACTAGAACACTTACAATAAAGTTTTTTTTAATAAAACTAACATTTTGAAGATCTGAATTTATTTGTAAAACTGACCCAAAATCAACACATTTTTCTCCAGTAAATGTGTTTTTCTCTGAAAGATTTTTAAGAAAATGATGTGACCGGCTACAAAATGCGATGTTCGCCAATATAAACAAAGTGCCTGRAAATAGCTTAGAGTGGTGATGCTCATGGAAGAACTGTTTGGGATTAGATGGTTTTGCTGTATTAGTACATATTTTGATTGAGTAAAGTAACCAAAATCAGTCAAAAATATCTGATAATATTTCAACATRCATGCAATGAAAGGATAACTGTTCAGTTGTTTCACTGTCACCACAAAAAATAAATATATATTTGTTCCAATATCAGATCTTTGAGGAAAGTAATTAGATGGATATATTCCATTCAAAGTTTTAAAGTGGATTTCTTTGACTCTTAGTGCAAGTGGAAATTTGAGGTTTTAGTACATAATCTATGAATTGACTGTGGTGGAAAATTTTGATGAATGGTATTTTTAAATGGCAGGGTGGGATAAATAATATCAAATGTGTGCCGTACTATCTTATTGGAAAACTTGGAATCTTTGAAAGAGTAATTTCCAGTTAATAATTGTGGTAAACATGGAACAATAGGTGAATAAAGCAAAGATAAGAGAGCTTTATGAATGACATTGATTATGAGYTTGTGTTTTTTGGTTTAGTTTTAGATTATATTCATGACAGAGCTTCATATGACAACAAGCAGCCATTACTATCAACTAAATGTAACACGGACCAAACATCTTTTTCCATCCAATCCCTATCGATTTAATAAGATATGTCATCTTTATATACAGTATTCTAGCTAAAAACTTCCAACACCTGGACTCTTCAAACATGAACTAGATTATTCTACACTAATTGTAGAATATTTAAAACTAAAGCTTTGCAAAAGCTTTTTCTGATTTGTGAAACTTCAACAAAGTTTGTTTTTCATCATTTTTTAGGCTACTGGACCACACTAGACCTGGTCCAGCTCAAAAACCAGGGTTCATGCCGGGTCTAAAAAAGTTTTWAAAAAGTCTAAAATATGAAAATCAAAATTTTAGGCCTAAAAAAGTCTTAAAAACGCCCAGATTTTAACCCCAGGTCTTAAATTTAATTTTGTCAAGTCTTAATTTCTTCTACTTTTGAACATTACTGAGAACGGTTGGCTGCATAAATAAAGAAAGTTAAGAGTTGTAATCAGAGGTTGACACGATCTGTCTTCATGAAGTGCTAAGTTTGCTACTGGTCATGATTAAACTACAAATCCCATGATAACTGCAGGCAAAAATGGCTCAGTTTACTTCCATGTTTTTGACCTCTTTGCTGCTACAACCCCCCACATACATCGGCTTATTTACCTGCTCAAAAAACAGAAGTTCAGTCATGTCCACTGCTTGTTGTTTAAACATGGGAAAGTGTGTTTTCAATGAGATTTCAACTTGATATCAGTGATTTTTTTCACTCGGTTGAAAGCAGTTCACAGCAGTCAGATATGACCGTTTCATTCAAATAATTTAGTGTTCTTGTATTAAAATTAAACATTCTTTAATAAATAAATTGATAGCAATAAAATATTTCTATTATAAAATTTCTGGGACCATTTGAATGTTCTGTTAATGCATCTATTTGGTCTTAAATGTCATTACTAATGGTCTTAAAAGGTCTTAAATTTAACTTACTGAAACCTGCATGAACCCTGAAAAACTATCTGGACTCTTCAAACCTGGACTAGATTATTCTACACTAATAGCAGAATATTTGAAAATAAGTTTGGGATTTGTAAATCCTTAATCTGATTTGTGAAACTTCAATAAATTTGTGATTATTACACTTTTTTTAATGCATCTGGACCACACTTGTACTGGTCCAGCCCCAAAACTCTAACACCTAGACTTTTCAAACCAGAATTAGAATATTCTATACTAATAAAATTATATTTTAAAACAACTTTGGGATTTGTGAAACTTCAATAAATCGCCTTATTAATGCATTTTGGTCTGTGGAACGCTAGAATCTAACTCATCCTTTCAATTTTGCATTATTTGCTGTCATTTCAACTCTGAACTTACTGTTTTCTAACATTAAATATTTTCATCTTCATTATAGCTAGATGTGGTTTTGCATTCTGTTTAGCTGTGATATCTTCCTGGTTGGGGGCATCATCTGAAATAATGCTGCCAACATCTTAATGTTCTTCTTTCCCTGGTATTCAGTTTTTTCTTTAACAAAAGATTATTTCTATATAAGTGCTTCTGTTTCAGTGTTGTTTATCTGCTTGGTTCTGTATCACTACAAAGAGCAAGGGCTGCACAATACATCACAAATATGTTGTCATTGCAATATCAGTGTGTGCAATATTCATTTTGAAAAAAAAAAACTGCTTGGAATGAAATAATTGTTGACTAATATGTATTTTTAAGAGTTTTGAAGTTGTATTTTTTATGCTAATGCAATATTTAGCCAGGAAGACACTGCAGCAAAAGCTCACACAACACCAATTATATTTAATTACATTTTCACAAATCAAATGAATGTTTCACAAACACACAACTGATTTTAGATCATCTGCTATTTGTGTAGAAAAATCTAGTCCAGATTTGAAAATTCTAGGTGTTGTGGTTTTAGAGTTGGACTGGGTCCAGTGTGGTCCTGATGCACAAAAAGTGAAGAAAACAATATTTATTGAAGTTTCACAAATCAGAAAAGGGTTTCATAAATCCCAAATCTATTTTTAAATATTCTTCTATTAGTGTAGAATAATCTAGTCCAGATTTGAAGAGTCCAGGGGTTGTAGTTGTTGAGCTAGAGCAGATGAAACATGCTCAAGGCAGTGAAAATTAGTTGTAATATCCCGTTAGAAATTTCCCGAATCGGAAGCTGGAACCGGAAGCTAACTTCAGCTTCGTGGGAAACGGTGAGTAAAAAAAACGCCTCACAAATCTTCAGTGATAGAAAAAAAAGAAAAGCTAGACGTCCCTGGGTGGGCTCGAACCACCAACCTTTCGGTTAACAGCCGAACGCGCTAACCGATTGCGCCACAGAGACAACTGACGCTCAAAGACCACTTTYCAGCTGTGTGGCAGTGAGATCACTTTAAAACGACCTCAAACGTAAATGAAACGTGGACAGCGTCAATTACGTAAGATCAAAACTACGCAGCATGAATGTGTTCGCCTTAACTATATATAAAAGTATACCTCTCGAGCCCTTCCAGTGAGCAGAGTGGCGCAGCGGAAGCGTGCTGGGCCCATAACCCAGAGGTCGATGGATCGAAACCATCCTCTGCTAAATATGTTTTTTGTCGTTTGTGGGTGTGCAAAAGTATTGTCTTTAACAGCAGGGTTTTATAACATTTTCTACCTAAAGCACGTGTCTCTAATTATGTCTTATGAACAATAACTTTAAATTAAGCCAGTGTGTTTTATAATAAATAAACACAATCATAAATTATTAAGCTTGGTGGTTTAATTGCATTTAATAAAGATCTAAGCACAGAGAAAGTTGTGTAAGAAAAAAAAGTCACTCATTTTTTTAAAATTACTAAACAATACAAGATATTTTAAAGTACCATAAAAATGAACATATTCTTGTAAAAGCAAAGTGGGAGTTAACATTTAAAAAAATTGTCATTGAGCTTTTCGTATCCTCTTGGCTCCAGAGGACCTGTGGTGGGTCAGATTATTAAGGACACAACTGTTTGTGAGCATTGACAKCTTGGAGTTCAAAGTGTCTTTGCTTTTTTCCCAGTAACAGTCTTGATCTGTATTTTCATCTCCTTCTTTCTCCTCYTCTTCCTCTTCAGCTCCACTYTCTTCATCACTGCGTTCATCTTTTTCCAGCTGTGGGCAGAAGCAGATGCAAAGGGACTTAATGACATTACTAAAGCAGACGCCTGTAAAGATCTTTGAAAAAAGAGAACAATTCATGAAGCAGCTGTATAAAGTCCGTCCTTTTCTCAGATAATAATTATAAATTTCATGACCCACTTCTCACCTTGCCTTTCAGGAACTTGTAGACCATGCGTAAAATTAAACCTGCCCAGAAGATGTGAAGAACCTGCAGCACCATCAGCAGGATGTTAAAGAAGTAGTAACCAGGAAAAGGCTGAAACACCTCCATGGACAGCAGCAAGGTTGTGCGAATGATTCTGTAAGAAATCAAACAACTTTATCCTCTTCAGCCCCAAGGGTTTTCTTCAAGTTTTTGCTCAAAACACCAAACCGAAATGTAACTGGGTGTATCTCAGCATTTACAAACTCCACTTAAATAATCTTGGTATCAAAATAAAGCTAATACTTGGGAGATTTCATCAGAAGTGTAAAGCAGCTGTTGTGGTTTTAGAGATGTTGGGAATGGAACATAATTTTTTTTTTTTCACTCTCACCTGAATATTTTTTTTCATTAGACAGTATACAACCCATTTAGTTTTTCCCAGTTGCTAAAACACATTTCTTGAAACCATCCATCCATTTCTCCAAACTGTAAACACAAAACCCACTTTTCAAACTACTTTCACAGAACCTCTGACTCTTCCAGCAAAACCAAACTACAGCCTCAAAATAGTTCAAACTGTGCTCAAAACCAAACTACAGCCTCAAAATAGTTCAAACTGTGCTCAAAACTGAACAACGTTGTCAAATCAGACCTGCAGAAATCAAAAGAACAAACACAACAGAGCAGTCAGTACACACAACAGGGACAAAAGAAAACAGTGATAAGGTCGTGAAGCTTTTGAAATAATCTTTATTGTCCACAAAGGAAAAGGCGTTTCCTTAACAAAACACCTGCATAGCACTTGAAGTAAAAAATAAATATGTACATAAATAAACAAATAAAACATTATATCTCAAATTTATAGAAAACTTGTATCTCGTCCTACTCATCCTTCATTTCAAACTCAGGTCCTCCACCAGAGGCCTGGAGTTTCAGGGTTCTGTTCAGGATTTTAGCTGTTCTTAAAGTAACCAGAGATCTCTGAGGCTGTTCTTTGGATCTGTTCAAGTCACTCCTGTAGTTTGGGGGTCACAGCACCAAGTCTTCCAGTGACCACTTGGACTATTGATGCTTTGACTCTCTGACTCTCTTCTTTTTTTCATCTTGGTATTCGTCCAGATTCTCGTTCGTCTTCTTCCAGGTGTTTCAGTCACTTATGATCTCTACAYCTRTCACTGCTGCCTTCTTCTCTTGTTTGTCGACCACCATGTCCAGCTGGTTAGCATCACCTGTCTGTCAGCCTGGATCAGGATGTCCTTTGTATCTTAGGTGGCGACTGTAGTCTATGTTGCGTGAGTGTATAGCCTATAAATAATTCTTTATATATATATATATATATATATATATATATACATATATACTGTATATACTGTATATACTGTTTGTTTTTATGTAAGTGTAAACATCCTTTACACCAACAAAAGTGCATACAGTTCTTTACAGTATTTATGTTTAGAGTATTTGCCTCTGTGACTGTTTCTATTCACAGTGAAGCTTCGATGACCAGGGATCCTTGTACTGCCTTGTATTGGTTTGGTCACATTATTAGACACGTGTGTGATCTATTTTGAGTTGTTGTGTTGTAGTTCAGACAGCAAAGCTTTATTTGTGTCTCATTTTAGCTACCTGTGCTTATCATTGTGGAACCCATGTGAATCAAAAGGGGAAATGTGTTTTAGTGGGTGAAAATAGGTCTGCATGTTGTGTCTAACTGGGTGAAACGTGCTTATATTCTGACAAAAGAGTGGCCATTTTAAGAAATGGGTTCGGGGAACTGAGCTTTTGGTTCAAAGAACAGGGTTTAGTGTTTTAGCAACTGAGAAAAACTGTAAAAACTCTTGGAACCCATAAATCCACTTGTGGACATCACCTGTGCAAAGATTCATGCTGCTAAAATTAACTGGAGCAAAGTTACAGAGGATTTAGTAAAGAAACAATGTTGAATTTTGTCATTAATAAATGTTAAGAAATCTGAAGTTTTTACGTCCAAAACTTATTTATTTTTTCTTACCTGACTGAAAAGACTTTTTATTGAATGTTTGTTCTTTTGAAAAATTATCCAAACATTTATTTGTCACCATATATATAAAATAATGAGAAATTATGTTTGACTTCAGTTGGATCCTATTCACTCAAAATCCAGTGGGGAAAAAAAAAACTTTCAAAACACTTTACATCATATTTTGGTATCTACTTTTACTTGTTTAAAAATAATGTCAAACAATTTTCTTTTACAGAATAGTTTGAATGTATTTACAGATTTGCAATGATGCCATTTTGTACAGTTTGTTTACTTTCTGATTCAAGTGCTTGACATTCGAACTGTTTGGTGGATGTAAAAATAGTTTCCATGAGATTTTAGCCAAGATTCTTAGGTTTCTTTTATACCAACCATGTCCAGGTTCAACCAACAGACCTTAAGTTAAAAGAAGTTAAAATAAATAGAAAATGGAAAAAGTTGTTTTGGGGCTCAAGAGGTTAAGCCAGGGCTATTCAACTGGCAGCCCGTGGGCCACATCCGGCCCGCGAGTGACCAAAGTTCGGCCCGCCAACTGGTTCATTCATCTCTTAAGCCCGGTTTTCTACTTTAATTACTCTAAGTTCTTTTAGTAAAACATAGACACGTTTGGTATCTACAGAAACGTCAAAATCTCGGCTAGAAGCTGGTAAAAATATTTCTATAAACAAGACAGTTTAAACTACAAGCAGTTGAAGATAAAACTATCAAAGTGAAAATAAAATTGGTTTAAAAATTTGGCAAGTCAGAGATGTCAAAATATTATTTGCGTCTAATAGGAAGCATAATGTGTTCTTTTTGTTTTTGATAATGTTTAATTATCACTATTTTTATAGGGTTCTGTATGTTGTATTYATGACTAAATGCAGCAAAATAAACTATTTCAAAGGAAACAGATCTTTGTAATACTTGGTTTATTTACATAATAACTTTAATTGCTGGATGTTCGGCCCCTCAGCTGCTGACCGGCAGTAACTGTGGCCCCCGGAGCAATTTAGTTGAATAGCCCTGGATTAAGCAGTTACCAAAAACAAAAAAGAAGCTATTCATCCATTTTGCAATACATAAAAAAAGTCTTACTTGCTGGGAAAAATCACCAGTCGAGTCACAAGGAAGACCACAGCAAATGCAACAAACAGAGAGTCACACATCCTCCTCCAGCCAGTGCCGTAGTTGAACATCTTTGCAGACTTCACAATCATAATGATAGAAAATAGATCACATTCTGCAGCCTAACAAGCAGTTTGAATCTTTGATTGTTTGGTAATGTWCATGTAGACTGCTAGCTTCTTACACTTTGTTAGGTCTTCAGAGGAGAAACATGTTAAAGACGTGTTTCTGTAAGGCTGTTACCTCTAACAATATGTCGGACGAGTCGTGGAGCAGCATCACCAAGGTGCCGATACGAATGTAGTTGGCACAGTAGGAGAAACTGAGCAGGATGATGGTAGCCAAGTGGTGGATCACTTGTTCCTTAAAATCCTAGTAATTAAAACAGAGCAAATACCTGCAGTGAATGTCTCCAGAAGATGTTGGTCTTTGTAGTTAGTAATTAACAAGAGGAGAGCAAGGTTTCTGTTTTCCAGCAGCAAAGAAGCGAGTGAAGCATGAAATATGAGGGAGAGGGAGCAAACACAATTCTGCGTCCTTAAACGATGAATGTAACGTTAACTGACGAAGAAATGTTGACAGTTTCACCTTCCTTCTGATGTCCACAGGGATCCGAAGCAGCAGAGAGCCATAAAAGCCCAGTTCCAACATGTAGTACCAAAAGTGAGCTCTCTCCATGGGCTGAGTGAGAAGGCAGGGACACAACACGTGTTAAACTCAAAGATACATTGAAATGTGTTTTATTTGGTTAGTGGTTTTTACCTGAACTGGATACTGTCTCCAGCACTCCCTGTGGTCCCAGAACCAGGGTCTCTGTCCACAGAGGGATGAGAAAATTGGTTGGATTTGTCTCTCTTGTGTTTTTTAAAGGGATCCCTGATTAGTTGTAACATTAGACTTTATTTGATAAACATTTGTTTTAACTGTACAATAAAGTCTGTAAAAATAATGTAGGCTG